CAGACTGACAGCAGCAGGTGTTTGTGTGTGCATGCGTCTATCTTTGTCATTGACCACCGTTTCTTAAAGGAGACAGATTCAAATATATTGCCGGAAAGTGTTCGGAAAGACTAGATTTATGAAATAGTATAAAATATTAACCTGGACTCTTCCACGATTCTAAGCTGCCTCCACATTCAACTTACATTACATTTTTGTTCCGTTACCTCAGTGATGCAAATTGACCACAAGGGGCAGCAGTAGACCAGCAGAAGCTCCGGTTGAGCGAGTGGTTTACCGAGTTTAGTTTGCGGTCTGACGGTAATATAAAGATGTGAACATGCTCTGGAGATGATACAGGCAACAGGTTCACCAGTCCGTCACAGGTACAAAAATATAGAGACAAACAGTGGGGCTGGGACTAGAAGACCAGGAAGAGAGTGGGGAGTCGGGCTAGGACGCTGGAATCTGGGGATGGAAACCCATGCGTACACGAGGAGAAAAAAAGAGAGAAAAAAAAAACACTCCCTTCAAATAGACCAGGGTAGAAACCAACCAACCAAGTGATCTTCTTCTAGGATGAGAGTTACTCGAGAAAGCGTTTCTAAAGTTTGTAAAGACTGAAATCAGTTTATTTCCTGCCGTAATCACTGAAAGGTGTCTTACTGAGAGTCATGGGTATTCTAGATAATTAGTTGACTTTTGCTGACTAAAGTATTTGTCAGGTCACATGTATCACAGAGTGTGTATTTTGGTGTAAATCTATACAAAATCAAATGTAAAAGGCAAGCCAACTCGCCAAGAAGGGGAGAGATAAAAGAAAAGATATTTGTTCTCACCTGAAAAGGTCTAGTTCTCAGAATGAGGGTTGATGGGAAGAGAGGGTGCGGAGAAGGGGGTTGAGGGGGGGGGGGATACAGGAAAGGTCTGGACGTTCACACAGAACAGCAGGAGGAGAGGGGAGAGGAGAAGAAGGAGGAGTCATTTGTGTTAAATCACTTCAGAACAGAGAGCATGTCTCCTCAGTAAAGGTTCTTCCTTCATAGTTGATTTAGCAAACCTGGAGCCCGGAACCTGGAGACAGATAGTCATTGAGAAGGCCTGCAGCTAGGATGCAGTGATGTCACTCATGTACTTGTCACAGTGGGTTTTGTGACTGTGAAACTGATTGACATTTTCCCAGGCTCCTTTTAACATTTTTTGGGACTCCAACATTTGAATACAAACATTTCAGGATAATATTATTTTTCGACTTTTTTTCCCCCGTTTTTCACTCTCTCCACTTCTCTACATTGTAACTTGTCCCCTTCAATGTTCGCATCTTTTTACAACTCCCTCTTTAAGAGTTAAAATTCAACATCAAGACCTGGGACGTGAGGCATGGGAGAGCATTCTGACCTGTCAATCAACTATTTGCGTGTGTATAGTATTTACCCCCTCCCCCCACCCCTTTCTGCTCTCCCTGCCCCCGGTCAGACGATAAGTAAAATCACTGCTGTCATCGGGAATTCTTTGATAATAAAGAATGCCTGATAGTAATATCTGGAACAGCTTGAATCGACGGGTTTTTGTCGTAAACAAAAGTTTGTGAACCGTACACTCTCCCTGCATGAAAGTCTGGAGAGAAGATAATAGAGATATAAAAGAGAGATAAAACCAAAGCTATTTTTCCATGAGCATATTTTTTTATTTAATTTGAAAAACGTCTTCCTGGTCTAGATAGGGTCTAGGTCTAGATAGATAGATGGAACTTTATTAATCCCTCGGGAGTTCCCTTTGGAACATTAAGGAAGAATTAAGGAAGTCTAGAACTACAGCAAGTTAACTGGTGTTTTTTTGCATTCAAGTAGTACTTCATAAAAAGAGTACTTCTGTTTTTTTTTGTGTGTTCTGTGTCTTTCTCTGTTATTCTGTACGACTGAGACTTAAGCCAATCCTAAATGCCCTCTTTGGTTGACACCCAGATTATGGCCATTACTGATCTGTATATGTATTTAGAGCCAGTGAGCAACAGAACAGCTCTCACAATAGTGGTAAACTGGTAATATTTATTTATAAAATATATAAATCCCCCCCACCCCTTACAAAAGATTTCACAGGTGTTGAAGATGAATTGTTTATTTTACTTTTGTTAACAGTGAGATGAGGAAATGAATTAGGTGTTAATGAGTCTTATTAGTTCTACTGGTCATCATACTGTAGTTCCTTGGTCAGCCATTTTAGCCAAATTATAAATTCAGCAGGGAAAGTGTGAATGACCAATGAAAGCAATGATCCCGATGGTGATTCTATAGGAGTCAGAGATTGCTATTATTTTCATTGGTGATGACAAAGGGAGGTGATCTGTCTTTAACAGCAGGTTAGCCCAGTGACTTTAGTTGGATTAGCCAGCTTAGATTACTAACTGTGGCATTGCAGATTAACATGCTAACAACGGCTAAACGCCACGTGTCTGAAACGCTTTTTTTCTGACTTTGTCTCATGCGCGGAACAATTTTATATTCAGGTGACTTGAAGGAGAGTCATTGAATAGCATGATTTCGAAAAAAGCACTTTCGAAAAAAAACTCCTCCTCACTAAGTAATTTTTTATATTTCTGTAAAGTCTACCTTCACTTGAGAGTAAAACGTCCACTAGAAAGTGTTTATTTGTTGACTTTCACACAATGCAAATATAAATCTATCCGTATTATATTATATTATATTGTTTTCTATTCTATTTTAGGCTTTTATGTTATATTGGCACTCAAATTTACAGCGAACCATTTTTTTTAAAACCCTTTTTTAATACAGCCTTATCTAAATTAGGTTAAAATATTATACCACTCGTGTAAAATTAATGGAAACCGTCGTTGTGTTAGTGTTATTGTGTGCGTGTGTGTGTTTCTGTATGTGCACTCAGTCAGTGTTGTGCTTTCACTGACACGTCATGAATAAACTAGGAATTGGAACAAGAGAGATGAATGAAGAACTAGGAATACACACGCTGTCTCTGGTATTTTAATGAGTGAGCAACACACACACACACACACACACACAGCAGGAGGTAAGTGGGTCACAGATCTACAGGAAATTGGACTCCATGAAAAGAAGATAGATAGATAGATAGATAGATAGGAAGGAAAGGAAAGGAAAAGAAAAACTTGAAAAGAACGAGTTTTTAAAACTCTGTTGAAGGGACATTTTATTTCGTAATTTTGTTTGTGAATCTGTTATATATTTGTATTTTTTAATATTGTTTGTGAATCTGTTATATATTTGTATATAATACAAATTGTATATATATATATATTTTCTTATTAAATATGTTATTTAATGAACCCAACTGTTTTAAAACCCTGTTTCAGATATACCCTAGTGACACAAACTCATCACAGGGGGCATCAGACCAGTAACTTTGTCCCTGCTAAGATATCAACAATCAGCGACTTAGACTAAAACAAGTGTCTTTTTTAATGCCTTTTCCTGGCTTGTGTTTTCATTAAATGCCAGTCTCTGCATTATTGGTTTGATTCTAGGATTGTAATAGATGTTTTTGCTAACATCTATTACATCATATTTACTGAATTTCCCCGGTGTGGGATGAATAAAGTCTTATCTTATCTTATCGTATCGTATCGCCTTTTATCGTGTCGTATCTTATTGTATCTTATCTTACCTTATCTTACTTTCTCTTACCTTATCTTACTTTATCTTACCTTACCGTATCGTACCGTACCGTACCTTACCTTACCTTACCTTATCGTATCGTATCTTATCTTACCTTATCTTACTTTATCTTACCTTATCTTATCTTACCTTACCTTACCTTATCATACCTTACCGTATCGTACCGTACCGTACCGTACCTTACCTTACCTTACCTTATCTTATCTTATCTTACCTTATCTTATCTCTATCTTATGTATATTTTGCTATCTGACTAAGCGCAGTCGTCAGTTTGCACAATCTCCTACAAACGACACTTGTGTTGTGTCCTTGTGTGCCGTCCTCCAGGTGTCTTCCTGATTCCGTACCTGCTGATCGTCTTTGCTGGAGGAATCCCTATCTTCTTCCTGGAGATCGCTTTGGGACAGTTCATGAAGGCTGGAAGCATCAACGTCTGGAACATTGCCCCACTCTTTAAAGGTGCAGTAGATGCAGAACTCACTAACACCAGACCCAATCTGGGGCCAGAACAAAGACAGACAAAATACAGATCGAAGCAGGACAAATATTTGTGCAAAATGTTTGTAAGGAAATACTGCAGAGAGTTGAAGACTTAAACGTTAACTGAACAAAACTTAAAGTCACTTCATAAGTAAAACTCTCACCTCACAACTAGAATGTGTCCTGAAAAAAAATAATACACACAACAATTGTAAACACATTTGCATTATAAATAGGATACATGTTTAAAATGAATGAATTATTATAATGAATTATAATGCTTTTTAAACGTCCGAGATTAAAAAACATCCTTTAATTCAAACTTAAATCTTTTAAAATTGGCACAGCAGCTACTGCTTTGCTATTATATATCTATATGTATCTATCTATCTATCTATCTATCTATCTATCTATCTATCTATCTATCTATCTATCTATCTATCCATC